TGTATGAATATATATATGTGCGAAGTGCAAACTCCGACAAGCCGTCGATTTTGGTAGTGGACTTTTTGGATTTTAGGCCAAAGACTGATAGATGAAATGTAGAAGTGCGAAGACGCCGTGTTTCATGCATTCCAAATTTTGCTTTTTTGGACACATGTTGTATAGTAGAGGGAGCTCAGTCGGCTGGGAGAGACATGCACGGTTGTTGTTTGGCTTTTAATGTTCTGTCTGGGTAGAGGAAGACATGAGAAAGTGCTTTCGCGTCTTTTGAAGTGCGCGCCAGGCCCAAGGACCGCCACACTTCGTGGAAGCGCAAAACTTTTGAAGATGTACCGATATCATGTGTAATAAAGAAGAACAGCTTTGCTAAGAGAGAAGATGGTTTTTATACTTGAAGTTGCAGTCAAACCCACTATATGATGAAGGCATGCGCGCGCGTGTACTCATCGAGACACTGTTTCTCAGCTGCAACCCGAACATGTTGCAACAAACTTCACGATTCACCTCCCCGCATGCAGCCATCGCGCCCAATTATGCAGACGCCCAATTCTCTCGTCATGTTCATGCCACGCCCAAAAGCTAAGCCTAAAAGACGGAGTCTGAAACCGATAAGCGAAAGCCGGTCGATCCCAATGTCCAGACGCGCGAGTCACGCAACAAATGTCCTGAGGCCCCACCTCCTCCCGTCAAAACTGCAGGATCGTGAAACACAAATTACCCCACCCCGCCCGTAGACCGGGATCGCTGGTCATGTTCTGGAACATGCGATTACAGGTACAAGCTTGCGCAGTTGCAAATGTCGCTGTTTCAAACACTTGTCAGTGCACATCCCAGACAACCCAAACACCAGGGCGCAAGCACCAGGAATAACCCGCCGGTGCGGAATCCGGGAGCAAGAGAAAACAGAGCACGTACCGTTTGATGAGTTCCTGACACGTTCCCATTTTTTGGAACAGCGTCGGGTCACCGATAATCCGAGCCGCGTTCTTGACTTCGCGGCACGTCTCGTCTAGTCGAGTGATGACGCGGACAATGGTGCCCTCCATGACATCTGTCAGGTCTGTTATGCGATTGAATGACATGCCCCGTGCCCACTCGTACACCACTTCGACCATACCGAAGCGGGGTTTGCTGACAAAGTCATTCGAATCATCAGCCGAGAGGATAACCTGGTGCAGAGTCTGTATCTTGTTGACCTTTTCGGAGATCTCAACAATCTTTGCGACGCCGCGTTCCAGATTTGCAGTTAGCGTAGGCTCTACGTCGGTCTTCTCTTGGAAGACAAACGCCGAGAGTAGTGCGACGATTTCTTCCGGTTCGTACTCGGCGAGGACGTTTTCTAAAACGAGCTCGGTAAGGACCAGCTCATCGGCCGAGTGGATCTGAAAGCTGTCAGTGGATGGGTGGAGCTTGAAGTCAGTGTCAAGCATACCTCGCAGGCTACCTTGCCCTTCAGCTCTACGCGAGAACCTTCGTCAATAAAGCCGAGATCCTTGAGAACGTGTATGCGCTGTTCGTAGTCAGGGAGGAGCTGTAGATTTTGGTCTGACATGAGCTGGCGGAGAGCAAGGATGTTTTCCTTGATCAGCCACTGGTCGTGCTCCATTGTGAACTACGAAGATTAGCATGGGTTGAGAACACTGCCGAACGCGAACACGTACATGTTTCAAGAAGTTTGGGCATTTCAAACATTCTTTGCTAACCGCATTCAGTCCTTCTTTCCTGCGGGCTTCCTCCAGTTCACGGAACTTGAGGCTCTTGATCTTGCTGTAATCGTACTCATCCCAGTCTTCGTAATCCCATGATCCACACAAGGGCAGGAATTGGGATTCAGCCAGCTTCAATGTGTCTGACGTGGCTGTTAGCGCCGGACCCAGACCGTAGCGCACCCACTTACCCTTCTTGCGATTCAAATTCTGAACAGAATCAGGAACATCGATGATGGTCTTGGTGAAGCACTCGATGTCGTTCAGGGGTACGTAGGCTGCCTTCAGGATCAAGTCCTTGGGGCTGTTCGGTAGTTTGCGGAAATGCTTTGCAAAGGGACCGAGATACGGCAGAAGGTCGTCAGGCTGACGATCTTGATGCTGCGCCACTTCCAAGACTTTGACTGTAGGCTCGTTGCCCTTGCTAGTGCCATCTTGCATTAACATACCCGCTGTTCGTTTGTTGTCCTGACTGCGTGAGTAATGAGGCAATTTGAAAGCGAAAGTGAAGCGTGTACCTTCTTGTATACGATCAGCCTGTTCTTTGACAGAGCTTTCCTACCAATAGGGTTGATGAGAAGACTCAGATGCATCTCATTGGTCAGTCGCTTGTAGTCCTCACAGGACTGATGGCAAGCCTCTAGATCAACATCGCAGATGTCACAAGGTTCTCGCTTGATCTTCTCCAGCTCAGCCTCCGAGACCTTGACCTTGCCTTGATGTTCAGGCAGTAATGCTTGAGTGGCATTCTCACTGAAACTTCGCTTGATCATCTCTTCGATCTTCAGGGCTTCTACACGTAGAAGGTTCAGCATCATGTTGTAAGTGAGACGGAACTGTGATCTCAGCTTCGTGGGTTCTCCCAGCATCATCTGACGGAGTCTGGCTGCTGGTGGCGCCTCATCGGCCCCGGGCGCGCAGATGATGACAGTGCCGACAGTGTCAAGTCCTCGCCGACCTGCACGACCGGCCATCTGAGTGTACTCGCCGGGCAACAAATCACGGAACTCGCGGCCGTCATGCTTACGGAACCCAGAGAACACAACAGTCCTGGTAGGAAGATTAAGGCCCATGGCGAAAGTTTCTGTGGCAAAGAGAACCTTGACAAGCGTCTTCGCAAAGAGGATCTCAACAACCTCCTTGACGATCGGCAACATGCCACCGTGATGAACGGCAATGCCTCGACTAAGCAGCTCTCTCAGCCGCTTGATCTGAGGAAGCTCACGGTCTTCCTTGCTAAGTCTAGCCAGTGACTTCTCGATGGTCATATGTATCGCACTCTTCTCCGCAGCATTGCAATAGTCGATGTTAGAGAGCGCTTCAGCATTTTCCTCGCAGCGCTTCTTGGAGAAGACGAATATGCAAGCAGGCAGGAGATCCTTGCTCCGGAGATGCTGTATGAGGTGGACCCAGATGTTTCTATCCTGGGCGGCAGTCGTACGACCGCCACCACGGCCCGTCCTTGCGATATTACCTCGGCCTCTAGCAGCGGGCGGGCCTCCACCGCGAGGTCCTCCTCGTCCGCCACCTTGTTGACCTCGTCCGCGTTGGTTCTGGCCTCCTCTAGCGGGTGGGCCTCCACGACCACCACCGCCCCTGCCGGCTTGAGCATCGTTTGAAGGAGGTGCTTTGACCTTGTCTTTACCGGACAAGATATCGTTCGCGTCTTTCCAGCCGTTATCGATGAACTTCTTGTCTGCTGTGACGATCTTGTGAATGCCTTTGCCAGCCCAGAGATAATGTTCCAGAGGGATTGGACGCTTCGGAGTAGAGATGACGTAAATGTCCTTCTTCTTTGTTCGACCCACCCAAGATGCAAACTCATATGTGTTGGGTACAGTGGCGGATAGTAGAATGAGTGTTACATGCTCTGGCAGCATAATGATGACCTCCTCCCAGACGACACCTCGCTCTAGATCATTTACATAATGCACTTCATCAAAGATGACGAACTCGACGTCTCTGATGAGATCTGCTCCTCGGTACAGCATACTTCGGAGAATCTCGGTAGTCATGATGAGACAACTGGCCTCGGGCCTGATCTGCACGTCTCCCGTGAGAATGCCGACATCATCAAACGTTTGGCGAAAGTCGCGGAACTTTTGGTTACTGAGAGCTTTGATGGGAGAAGTATATATAGCTTTCGTCATATGCTTTGCAGCAAGTGCGATGGCGTACTCCGCAACCACGGTCTTGCCAGCGGACGTATGTGCGGCTACAAACACTGAATCGCCATGCTCAAGATGATACACTGCTTCTTTCTGGAATGTATCGAGCTCAAAGGGATACTCGCGTGCCATTTCCGGAACGAGTTCCCGGAAGTTAGTAATGTCGCGGTTGATGTCAACCATGTGAGCCCACTCTCGTCCACCCTTCCTTCCAGCACTCATGGCGAGTGGACCATGAGGCGCCAGAGCAGGAAACTCTACTGGTAACAAAGCATCGATCTCTTCGTCTCCAGCGTCCTGGTCTTCATCAGGTACTTCCCCATTTGCGCCGGTCTTGTCGTTGGCATCCTCGTCATCCACATCAGTATCCTTGGGGGCTGTAGACGCTTCTCCCAAGGTATCTTCGACCTCTTGAGCAGTCTTGGCGTCCGTAGTCGGCTTCTTCTGAAAGTCAAGCCCACGCATGAAGCCAGGTGGCACTTCTAGTAAGCCACCTTCAGCACTGAAGTTGATGACTCTGTCGAGACCGCCACTCTTTTTTCCATTCGCACTCTCTTGCTGCTGGATTGCTTCGTCCTCGATAGCAGCTACTGCTTCCACGCCATCAAGGCCGCCGGGCGCGAATGGAAAGAAGCCAGCTGCACCACGTACGAATTCAGCTCTATTAGCAGGCTTCCTGAGAAGAGAGGTTGAATTTTTGGCTGTTGCTGAGTTTGCTGGAACTGTAACTTCCTTGTATCCAGTGACGCGGCCTTCTAGTCCCTCGCGCGTGAAGCGGATGATGGTCCGGGTCTGTGTTGGGGCGATCTGGAACAGGCTTCGGTAATTGGTGGGTGCATCCCAGCGCTGCTGAAGCTGATTCAGCCACTGCGTGTTGAAGGATTTGGAGGGTGTGAGAAATTCTTGCTCCAATTCCTTCTTGATGACCTCTTTGGTTTTCCGCTGTCGCTTGGGTGGCCGCTGTTCGCCAGCTATCGAGTCTATACCATCTTCGTGAAGGTTGCTGCTATGTAGCCGCAGCTTTTCCAATTCCCCAGACAAAGCTTCCATGATCGCGAGTCGAGTGCGAATCTGGTAGGGTACTGAGCCTGTGGGATTGTGGCGCGACCGGGTGAGAAAATGGATGACGTTGTTTGGAACGCCAAGCCGTGTCAAAAGGACCCACTTCCCCCGCTACCGTGTACACAGCGCAGGTGCTCCTACCATGTAAGATTCAACACGTCGTACCTGCGTATACATTACGAGTAAGATGGACCCTGGAAGAGCCTGCGATGAAACCATGATATAGTAGGGTATGCCCAGGAATAGCAGGATATCCTATCTCTGAGCTGCACATAGTGTCTAGTTGGATATAGAAGGCTACATGGTAGCCAATTGCAAATGCGAATCATAGCTCATCGTCACTTCATGACCGAGCGCAATCGCTCTTGTGGTATTATCCCCGAACGCCGCGCTATGATTAACCAAATCCGACTGCTACATCACGTAGCTGCTCAATCCCACATGTCGTCCATCTCTGCCATTGCCTCCATGTCGTCCGCAAAAGGATCGTCTTGTGTAGGCATCGGCCGTGTTGGGAGTGTCTTGGGTGCTGTGTAGGTGGGCTGTTCGCTCTCAGCTAATAATGCATCCAACTCGTCGTCGTCGGGTTCCCCACTCTCTGGTGGTTCCGCTGCATCGCCTGTTGCATTACGTGTAGATGCCTCCCGTCCTGTTGGGTTGCCCGAGTCTTCTTGGCCGCCGTTCTCGACGCCGTCTATCTCTTCGGTGCTCTGTTGTGGGGTCTTCTCTCGGGCTGCGTCCTCGTCGTCTTCATCCTGTCTCGTGTTGCGGCGCGGTTTGCCCTCGTCGATCCAATCCTTCCGCATCAACTGCATGCGCTTCGTATGTCCGACCTTCTCGATAATGGCTAGGGCGTCTGCAAACTTGGCGCGGGGGTAGAGATCGTCGAGCCACAGCTGGTACATGTTCAGCATGCGGGCAATGTCTCCATACTGCAATTGAGTTAGTCGGTGGGTCTACTTGATCCGGATAAACGTACCTCGTGACCCTTCCCTTTGAAGCGGAGGCGATCTTTTGAGATCCTGCGCAAGCGGGGAATGCCAGGATCGGACAGCAACCGTTGGTCATCGAGTTTCGGCGCAGGCTGGCGCTTTTTTGTGATGACAATCTCTTCGTCAACGCCAAGGCCGCCCGCAGTGTCGCTGTTCTTGTTGCTTCGGTACTGCGGCTGCGGCGGGTTCTCGGTCGATTGAATGGGCTCTTCGGGATTCGTGACGTCTTTGAGAATGTCGTCTAGGTCATCGTCGGAGTCGTGGGTGGCCATTGTATCTGGTGAGGTTTATTGTGGGTGTTACGAGGTCGGTGTCTTCGTGGATCGTTGAGTTCCCATCGCGCGACGCGTCTGACGCGTTCAGCCATACGCACGGGCCCTAGAGTCACTAGCCGCATGTGGCGCAACTAGATCTCTGTCTAGGCAGGGTCCAAATAAGCTCTCGACTGGAGCTTTGCGACCGGACATCGCCTTCACTGGCCAGATGTTTACACCATAACTACCGCCTCTCCGATTGCTTATTCTAGTGCGACTATACGTTTGCTGCTCAGACGTCCCATATCGCAACTGTACTGTGGTGCTACTACCTTTGCGACAGCGGGTTTCCGGCTCGTGATCGAGGCCCAACGCGCCCTAGACCAATACAATGGCAGCATCAGATGTGCTGTCCGCCGACGCGGTAGCTCCAAGGCTGGACTACTTATTACGGCGTGCCCGTGTTGTCAAGCAGAGTACTGCGATCGATCCTCCACTGCAAGTTTCCGAGCTTGTACCGGAAAGCGAGCCTCTGCTCGGCGAGATCGAAGGAGGAAAGGAAGTACGAACGCTTGCGGTCGAGAGTGCAGCCAAGAGTGTATTCTATGCCAATCTTGTTAGTTGTTATGCTACGGTATCACCTCCGCCAGTTGCTTACATGTCCAGGGTTCCACTCAGATTGAGGAGCCGGCCTTCGTAACCGTCTGGAATCTACTCGACATCCTCCAGTACTGTGGAGATCGGGGTAGGTTCTTTTGCCGAACTGTCTGAATTCTGACTGACTTTCCCAGACCTCTGCCATCCGCAGCTTGTACTGTTGCTCATCGAAGAATTGCTTGACAGCCAATCAATATCAGGATGTCGCACAGTGTTCAATTTCCTTGAATCCCGGAGAGAAACCATTATCGCGGTATGCCGTCCCTGCTACTATTTTTAATCATTCTCATCGCGTCGCAGATCAACTCCAAGAATAAGGATCTTGTCATCTTGCGGCTATGTAATGAGCTGCTCCGCCGGCTGTCTCGCGCGGAGGATCCGGTATTCTGTGGCCGCGTTTACATCTTCATGTTTCAGAGCTTTCCCTTGGGCGATAAGAGTTCGGTAAATCTGCGGGGCAATTTCCACGTGGAGAATGTGACGACATTCGAGGACTTCCTGAAGGAATCGAACACGGACGAGGATTCTATGCAAATCGATGCTGATGGACCTGTTCCTGCTCCCAAAGAGGAATCAAAGTCAGATGAACCAGTCATTCAAATTGAGGATATCGACAAGAGCAAAGACGCGAAACCTACGACACTTGACACCGAATCCCTCTATCCAGTATTCTGGTCACTACAGCACTCTTTCTCGAACCCACCCAGGCTTTTCGAAGAAGATAATTTCAAGCAATTTCAGAAGAGCTTGGAGGCGACGCTAGCCAAATTCAGGGAAGTGCCAAAAGTGATCCAGGCCGGAGATTCAGAACGAAAGAAGGGACAAAAGTCGCGGGACGATGACGACTACGATGCATTCGCCAACTCCTTTAATCCCAAGTATCTCACAAGCCGTGATCTCTTCAAGCTCGAGGTACGCAAGATTGCCACTATCAATCTGCGCTATGACTGACAATCTCCAGCTGAGCGATCTCGCCTTCCAACGCCACATCCTTGTTCAAGCACTAATTCTCATCGACTTTTTGTTGACTCTGACCGAGGGGTCCAAGAGCAAGCCATTTTACCAGAATGCGCAGAAAGCGATGCAATACAGCTTCACGCTGCGCGAGGAAGACGTAAGTGCCTATCATTTGCCTCTTCTCACACCTCCGTCACGCTCTCTTGCTCGAGTTGCTGTCCGTGATCATCATCTTCTCGGCTGACCACAAAGCACAGACCGAGTGGGCATTGGGCATCAAGACGGCTATTGCAAATTACCTGCAGGAAGGCCCAGATGGCAAATTCTACTACCGGATGGTGGACACCGTGCTTTCCCGCGACAAAAACTGGGTACGATGGAAGATGGAGAACTGCCAACCATTCACCAGAGACAGAGTCCCCACAACGGACTTCCAACAAGCCAAGTCTGGGGCGCAGAAAGCTGTTGTTGGTAAGAAGGCGTCCAAACCCATGGGTGTTCCTAGCAGTTTGAATTTCCTCTACAACAATGAAGCGGATAAGGGTCTCTCTCAGCTACGGCAAAGCGACAGGTACGTGCTCCGCTCGTCCGACTGACACTCGATTACAGCCTCTGACGTCCAGTCAGGTTCAATGTGCCGAATGCAGAGTCATATGCAAAAAAGGTCAAGATGACCGACTTGGATCTGGAAATGACTGACGCAGAGGACGAGAAGCGGCAAGCGGGGGAGAAGAAATCCAGCTACATCTGGCGAGGTCTTCGCGTGGCTTCGAAGACGCAGCTAAGCTCGTTCGATAGGATCGAGCATGGCAAAGGCCTCGAGGCTCTTCAGCCGGCCACCTCTTCCATTGAGGCGACGGGCGTTGACGCTGCACCCACTGCTTCGGATGACCAGGGGGCTATTCCGCAAGACGAGCATCAGAGCGTCGAGGAGCAGCGGCCCGACCAGCGTAGTCAAGTGACTGCGGAACCAGCGGCGTAGTGGTGGCAGCGACAGGGGCATTGTCGCCTGCGCCAGCTTGGTATGAATTATCGACGGCTCTTGAGAAACACAAGAGCTTTTCCTCATACGTTACTGTGCAGTATGGGGAGCATTGTGGCGCTTTCCCATCGAATTTATCTCTGCAAGCGAAGAGAACATGGGGTTCATCTCCCCGAGCCACTCTCAGCGTATCGATAGATCGAAGCCCACGCATAGTCTGAGCGACTGCACAGCCGGTCGCCAACGGCGCCCCTCAATCTGCAACGCCACGACTGGAGGTCGGAAGGCTGTGTGCGGCGCAAGCAGGCTGTGGAGATGAAGAGCCCCATGCTGATGAATAGAAGTCTTCGTAATATAGCCTCATCGCGTGGGAATGTACGCCGTTTCCCGGGTCTCGCTCTGATGTAACCACGATGGCAAGATTGTGGCTCTCGTCCCTGGCTAAGCATGACGGAGTGTCCAGGCCCTTGAGGAATGCTCTGATCACAGATGTGCCGTGATGCGCCGGGGTGGGGCCGTCTTCAGGCTCATTGAATGAGTTGTCAGCACAATTCCCACCTACGTGGGAGATGCTGCATGATTCCGAAATGAAGGGACCTGTACAACCTGACACGACCGTTCAACGCAGTCCGAGGCTCCGAGGTTCTCTGCTGTGGTCTGGCACGCGGTGGGACCACCTCATGATGACATGACAAGTTGCGAACCACCAGCCGGACACGGGCCCAGACTGCTGGCAACGGATCGCAATCATATTCAATGCATTATGTTCGCGAGAGGGACCGAAGCATAAGGACAAGAGGCAGGCATGTTCTGCCGACACTGGACAGGCACCCATGCGCTCATCAAACCCACACAAATGTTGCGTCCCCCACCAATGACCCGCCAGCGTATCCGCGGTTTCGCTATCGCTTGCTCCTGTCATTTCCACAGGCCGTCCTCATCCGCCATCCGGGCGGTCTTGGCGTTGTTTGGGAAATCGACCGCGACGCCCTGCCGGCATCGCGTTTTGGAGATTGCGTGTACGTAGCCGGAGACGTGCTTTTTGTCGTTGCGAAACGAGCCAAACGCTGGCGGTTACCCGCGTGCTTCACAGCCAGCGACCAAAAACAATATGCGCCGGTTCAGGCAATGCGACCGCAGACGGCGCGAGGCGGACAGTGTGCATCATTCGTCACGGGCGCTGGCCGCGGTATCGGCTACACGTTCGTCTTCTGCTTTGGACACGGGCGATGGCGATCACGACGGAACGGCGCAGCAGGGGTGGCTTGCGCATCGCCCATTTTTCCCTGCAGTGCGGCCGAGCAGACAGTTGCAGTGCGCGCAGCCTCGTTGACAGGTCATTCGCGCGCTCCAGCACCGTTTCAGCGCGCTTGCTTGGACACGCACCTTCCAAACACGTTACGATAACCACCGCTGTCATCCAACTACCGACAGCCCACCAGCGTCGCACACAGTCGCACTACAGCGAGAACAGGCTTCGAGAAACAGTGCTCTTCAGCATTTTCCCGGCGCGGGCCGAGCTTTTGGCCGTTAGATCGTTGTTAGCCCAGCCAGATCTGTTGCGAGCTGGTGACCCCCCGCTGCTCATTGGCGACGGCGTCATTGCTAGGCGCTCGACTACTCACCACACTGGATCAAGCAGGTGTGCAGCAGGAACACACATGTAGCTAGACGCGGTTCCTTGGGTGCCGGCAAGCATCATGGGTCACGGCTGAAGACGACCAAGGTTCGTTGTTCATGCATCTGAGCGGGCGCGATGGGCGGCTCAAACCACTGGCACTGGCAAGGCTGATGCACCGCGTTCCTGACGCATACGCAATTTGCGGTCCGTCGTCAGTAACATTTGACAGGTGCCAGAAGAAGCACTGGGGAGCCACCGGCCCAAGGCGGCCTGGTCCACCAGCTAGAGCGACGTCGTTGTGTGAAGGTTTGTGGTTCAACGACAGTAGCATCGAGTACACGAACCTGGCGGCACCAAGTCCGACCTTCACCACCACACCACCATCTCGTCCGTTCATAAACCACACTAAAGCAGCATTGACAGCAACACCCCGCAACAAGCCGTGCAAGCGTTGCCGAGCCCTGTAGCATCCCTGCGCTTTCTCGCTGCGGGTTCCTTGGACTTCCCGCATCGCATCTGGCCAATAATGGCGCCGCCGCCTGCCTCGACGTTCGACTGCGAGACGCCACGGATTAGTCCTTGCTCGTCGGCCATTTTTCTACACGGGCCCTGGTCTATGCATGTAGCCTGCAGCCCACCATGTTCACGCACCGCTCGCTCCCCTTCCCTTTCGAGGGGAGGGCACCCTGGCATGCAGCACACCTGATCCAGAGCCTTTCGATTCGCCCGTTCCCGCTCCGTCTCTCCTTCGTAGTAGGCCCACGTCCCGAGCTACCGTATCCCTGTGCCCTGAGCCTTTGGGGTCTGCTAGCCCTTGACGTTAGTCACGCTTCTCGTCGTGTAACAAGCTGCTTCCAGATCCTCGAAGGATATCATGTTTCCCTAAGAGGCACCGCTGTCCATGCGTAGTCTGACCCTAGTCCCTCGCACTTGT